TGCATTGTTTGGAAATGGTGCATGGTTTGGTCTCAACCATTTCGTCCACACCCCTTCATGGTCTATAAATAGGACCCTTTGGGTGTCCTATTCCTCACAGTTTGATATGCAAAACGTTTCTCATCCTCTCTTCTATCCAAAATCAAAATCATTTCGTTTATTTTGATTTTCTTTCATTTCATCCTTGGAGTACATAAGCCTAAATTGGTTCGTTGTACTTGTGTTTTGGAGTGCTACAAACACAAGTGTAGCCGTTGTATCTTGGGAGTCGATTGCCGAAATCCGTAGGCACCGTTGCGGGGCAAATTCGACTTAAGGACAAAGAGTCCAACTCTTGCCTCGGCTTTGTCACCATCATTATACTTATTTCAGTGTCACTATTCACAAAATTCATCCAACATGTTTTGCATGGATCCCGGGACAAACTGCGGGCCCTTGTAGAGAAGCCATCTTCAATCATCTAAATCCATCAGAAGATTAACAAATTATGATCAGAAAACTAATTGCTCACATTAAGCTAACCACTAAGAATATAATATTCAGAACATATAACTTTGGCAAAAAATCATCACAAAATCCCAATCGAAAAATAAAAAAAGCCCCAACTTTAAATTTTAAAGTTCTTTTCTCTTTCCACGAAGAACTCTTTTATTAAATGTAAACCGTAAGTTCTCCAATACCAGTACATACTAAAATAAATTAATAATAATCCTCTTCAATACACGGAATGACGGAATATCATACAAAATAAAGTCACAATCTCTAGTTTTCATCTTCATTGCTAATCAAACAATAATGTCAACAAATTAATCACACAAATTAAGCCCAACGGATACCAAATTGAAACATATAATTCAGCTGAGATATCATTCAACGACAAGTATATGTTTCCATCTTTCTTTTTTCTGAGTCAACCTTTTCTTATCTTTATAATCCAAAATTCAATAACTTATACAGAAGTCAGTTTTATCATGTATATAATCACACCTGAATAAAGCTCTCGATCTGCTTCAACAGTCAATAACTTCTACCCACCAATCGTGGCTTTGAACATCTAGAAAAAATCTTGGAATTTTTTTTTGGAGCTTTCATGTCAAATAAAACATTAGTTTAAAAAGCCTAGGAGCTAAACTTTTTTGGGTAAATATGAAAAATGAAAAATACAATTTATAAATGATTAAAATGACTTTATATACAAAAAAGATATTGCTGCCCTAGTTCTCATTTCAATTCCCATTTGACCCCAATTAAATTCTACATTCCTTTCATTTGCTCTTCAAAAACCGGCTGTAGAGGTATGCAATTCCTTTCTTTGTCTTCATCATTTTTCTAGGGTACTGCTATTTCTATTCACATTTTTTATAAGTACATTAACTTTTAAAAATAAATTTTTATTATATTTTAAATCCTATGTAAATTTACTTAAATAGACATAAGCAAAATTAAATAAAAATACAAAACTCTAAATTGATACACTAATTTTTACTTTTCGTTGGATGAAAATAACTACATGCACAAAAGAATTGCCGTAGAATAGCATTAAGTTCACAACTCTTCCGTTGGAAAACGTGAATAATGTAGTCAGCTACTGTTGAAGACTGCTTGCATGATGATGCACTGCAATCTGTGACCAACAAGTTGAAAGGCATATTAGAATTTTCTG